ACACCAATCTTTCTTAAACTCTTCCAAACATTGAAAAGGAAGGAACACTCCCAAACTCATTTTACAAGGCCAAAATTATCCTGATACCAAAACCAGAAAAGGACACTACTAGAAAAGTACAAGCCAAAATCCTGATGAATAATACATATAAAAATTCTCTATAAATACTAGCAAACAAAATTCAGCAACACATTAAAGGGATTATACACAACAACCAAGCGGGATATAAGGATGGTTCAACGTATGCAAATCAATCAATGTGATACATCACATTAACAGAATGAAAGAAAAGAGTCACATGACCATCTCAATGGATGCAGAAAAAGCATTTGACAAAATTCATCCATTTGTGATTTAAAAAAATATTTTTAAATTAGGCGCAAAAGGCACATATCTTAAAATCATAAAAACCATATATGACAAGTCCATACTCAATGGTGAAAGGCTGAAAGCTTTTCCTCTAAGATCAGGAACAAGACAAGGGTGCCCACTCTCACCTCTCCTACTCGACATAGTACTAGAAGTCTTAGCTAGAGCAATCGGGCAAGAAAAAGAAAGAAAGGCATCAGAACTGGAAAGAGAGAAGTAAAATGGTCTCTTTCACAAATAGCCAAAGAAATCCTGAGAAAGAAGAACAAAGCAGGAAGCATCACACTTCCTGATTTCAAAGCTGTATTATAAAACTACAGTCATCAAAACAGTATGGTACTAGCATTAAAAACAGATAACTAGACTGATGGAACAGAATCAAGAGCCCATCCAAGCATATTTGGTCAACTAATATTTGACAAGGGAGCCAAGAATGTTCAATGAAGAAAAAACTGTCTTTTCAATAAACGGTACTGGGACAATTGGATATTCACATGTTAAAGAATGAAAATAGACCTGAATGGACTCACAAAAATTAACTCAAAATGGATTAAAGACTTAAATGTAAGACCTGAAACCATGAAACTCCTAGAAGAAAACATAGGAATAAAGCTCTCTGACATGAATTTTGGTAATGATTTTTTAGACATGACACCTAAATCACAAGAAACAATATCAAAAATAACAAGTGGGACTACATCAAACTAAAAAACTTCTGCACAGCAAAAGAAACCATCAACAAAGAAAAGACAACCTATGGAATGGGAAAAAATATTGTAAACCAAAGGAAAAAAAGATTGTAAGCCATGTATCTGATAAGGAGTCAATATCTAAAATATATAAAGAATTCATACAACTCAATAGCAAAAAAACCAAATAACTCAATTGAAAAAAATGGGCAAAGGACCTGAATAGACATTTCTCCAAAGAAGATACATGAAAGGCCACCAGGTACATGAAAAGATGCTCAACATCACTAGTTATAGTGGAAATGCAAGTTAAAACCATAATGAGATATCATCTCACACCTGTTAGAAGGGCAATCATCAAAGAGAAACAACAAAAGTTGGCGTGGATGTGGAGAAAAGGAAAGGAGCCCTTATACACTGCTGGTGGGACTGCAAATAGGTACAGCCACTATGGAAAACAGTGTGAAGGTTCCTTAAAAAATTAAAAATAGAACTACCATATGATACAGCAATTCCACTTCCAGGAACCTATCCAAAGGACATGAAAACGCTAACTTGAAAAAATATCTGTACCCCCACGTTCAAAGCAGCATTATTTATATTAGTCAAGACATAGAAACAACCTAAGTGTCTACTGATAGATGTGTAAAGAAGTTGTCACACACACACAGGAATATCATTCAGCCATAAAAAACAAAATTCTACTATTTGTGACAATGTGGATGAAACTTGAAGGCATTATGCTAAGTGAAATAAGTCAGACAGAGAAAGACAAATAGTGTATGATCTCACATATATGTGGAATCTTAAAAAAACGAAAAACAAAAAACAAAATAAAAAACAAAACTCAAATTCATAGAAAAGGATGCCAGACTTGTGGTTACCAGAGGGCGAGGGTGGCAGGAGAGGAAATTGGAGGAAGGTGGTCAAAAGGTATGAAGTTCCAGGTATAAACTAAGTAAATAGGAATGTATGACATGATGACAATAGCTAACACCGCTGTATGATACATAGGAAAGTTGTTAAGAGAGTATATCCTGAGTTCCTGTCATGAGGAAAATTTTTCCTTTTTCTTTTCCTTTTGTTGTATCTGTATGAGAAGAATCTGAAGCTACTGTGGTAATCATTGCACGATATATGTAAATCAAACCATCACGTTGTACGCCTTAAACTTAAACAGTGATGTATGTCAATTATTTCTCAATAAAGCTGGGGCAAAAACAACAAGAAAGAAGGGAAGCCATTTCGCTTCCAGATCTCTGCTGGTCCTACTCATCTCTGGCACTGTAAGTGACGATGTGGGAGCAGAGCCTTGGGAGGACCCTGGGACCAAGGAAAGGGGACTTAGTGTGCTCTACGAGTCCACAGGCCCTGCCTTCCAGGCGAGGTGCTCTCTGGCATCTGTCGGAGGGCTCTGAAGACAGATGGGAGGCTAGTGCTAAACAGAATGGAGGTGGCTTGGAGTCAAGAGGCCAAAGTTCTACCCCAGTTGTGCTCATGACGTCATGGTTCTGGGTAAGACAGCTGCCGTCCTTGGGACTTGGCTTCCTCATCTATAAAACAAGAGGGAAGACTGAGCTGCTTGCTCAGGCCCTTGCAGGGATGAGAGCCTGTTTCCTTCATCCTCAGAACAAATTCAACAAATTCCTTTGTTAATTTCTTGGATTTTATAGTTTTATCAAAAGCATCCCTTAAGTTCCTTTCCTTATCCTTTGTTAATATTAAAAAAGCCCACCAGTAATTGTTAGCAATTTTCCTAAGCATGTTCGGTTTTTTTTCAATTTAATATGGCATCTAATTACCATTCCCTTTTGTTCATTTTGATTTTTTCAGAGTGACATTATCAAAATACATCACAAAATACACTATAAAGTGGTAAAAGAGAGAAGCCTTAAAATCCGAAGTTAAACGTGACCATTTTTCAATGTTTAAATATTTGAATATCCAGGATCTATTTTGAGTTTTACAACCCAGTAAGATAGGCCTTTTAGGGTAAAATGAGGCACAGAGAGGTTAACTGACTTGCTCAAAGTCACAAAGCAAGTTAGTGGTGAAGTCCAGATCATTGGACTATATGCCCCATAGTCTTTCCACTATAGATCCTTATCTTCCTAACCAACCTGCCTTTCTAGATTCCCGGCTACTATTTCTTGGCTTAAAAACACACACTTTTTGCATAGCAAAGTTAAAACTCGTTGCAACAGGACTGTACTTGTCCTACTAGGCTAATTTTCCTAAGGTAAAAAATCAATCCCACCCAGATGCATTCCATCCCCAGTGACGCCGGAGAATGAGGTAGCCCAGAGAATCGAAAGAGTCTCTACATACTAGGAAGGTTACAGTTGGAAGGAGACTGAAAAAATGGAGTTTTCCTGGCCTTTCCTGGAAGAACGATGGAATCAGGTGGGACATACAACGGTAGCCTTCTCACAATCACAGTTCACAGCAACTTCAGAGCCAGGAATGACCTGGCCATTTGTCTCTGGAAATCTGCTTCCAAAGAGGTGGGCGAATGACTTAAAAATGCAAAAATAGGAAGCAACTAGAGGCAGCATAGAATTAGCCTCTTCCCCCGCCTCCCCAATAGGTCAATATCCAACATCACTCCTCCTCTATTTCTGCTTCAGATTCTGTTACTTCCTATGGCTATCAGGGTGTGTGTGTGTGTGTAAATATTTCTAGATTTACTAATCAGGACTCATGATCCCGTTTGCTCATACATACCCTAACGAAAGACATAGGGAATAGCCTACCACCCTCTCAAAACAACACGTGAAGACCCTTCCCCTAAATGAAAATAAGCTTTACCCATGTATTCCTATCCATTTTATGTCATTGTAATCCCAAGTTATCATTTCTAGAACAGCAAGACAGACACAGACCTGCTGCCCAGACTATGACAGATTATTTACATTGACTACTGTTTAAGACGAGATACAAGCAGGACAAATTCAAAGTATTTAAAAGGAAACAGATCTACAGGGAAAACAGTAGTTTGCTTTTACTTTTCTGGGGTGCTAGGCTAATTGTGAAAATAAACAGGAAAAGACCTCAAACTGGCTACCTCTGGATGGGGAATAAAATGTTCGTTCCTCTGCTAGGCTTGTAAGAGCTCTCTGCGACTTCAGCACCACAGACTCAGCACGGCACCGAAGCATTCCATCACCGGCTTCTACCATTTAATGATCCAAGGCTAGGTGGGACAGATCGACTCCGTCTCTGTAAGGTCCTTGTTGCCTCCGGGTGGCTAGCAGCAGCTCCTTACCTCCTGCCCTTGATGCCTGGCCTGCTCAATTAGCATCTTATTATAGACTGGCCTCTTGTCTAATTACCACCACAAGTGTCAATTGAACACTTTATTTTATTGTCTTGTTCATGCAGTAACTAGTTCAAGTGCCAAGGCTCCCCAGCTATAATAAATCCTAGACTCCTTTTAGGCAGGCGTGTGTTTCCAGTTTCTTATCTCTTCAGGCCCACAAGAACACAAGGGACTCATGGGCATGCAAACAAATACTTGGTTGTTTAAAGAGCTTCTAGATGTCTATTCTGGGTACAAGGCACATGGTTGGACTCTAGGTCTCCATGCCTATCTCAACCCTCTGTACCAGATCCATCGGCCTTCTTGCTGTTGAGGGCTGTCCTCGGCACTTTTGAGTTAAGCTCTACTCAGACTGTATATAGCCTTTTCCCGTATCTAAAAGGGTTAGACATAGGAATTTCCCATTAGCACCATATTCTATGTTCCTCTAAAAAAAGGATTGGAGTTTATGTTTGAACAGATTCCTTGCTTTTGGAATTAAAACTAACTGTAGCTTATAGGGCAGTTACCGGTTCCTTAACAAACACAGGGCTCTTTCACCAAAAACTCTCGTGAATAATATGGGGTCTGGGGGAAACTGCATAAGGGGATGGTTAGGTCTGCAGGTATTGGAGCTAGATTACCTGGTCTCAAATCCTGGCTCTGCCACTTATTAGTTATGTGACCTGTGACCTTGGTCAAGACAATTAACTTCTCTGCACCTTGGTTTCTTCACCTGTAAAATAGCTGGATAACAGCATTTGCACCATAAAGCTATTGTGTGGACTGAATCAGTTCATCTCTGTAAAGTGCTTTAGAATAGTGCTTGGCACATAACAAACACTATGTAAGTCAGTGTTAAATAAAATTAATAGAGTAGAGATTTAAAATAGACAGACCTACAAAACAGTATGCCCCCAAAGAATCTGACAGTGACGGAAAAACAAGATGGTTTAATAGAATAATGTGCCATCCTTGGCTTCTTGATTTTCTAACTAACATACATTCTTTGAATTGCTTCAATAAACCAAAAAAGAACTCTGAATTTATAGGTTTAAAAAATGTCTAATACAATATCACAACGAAAGGGATAAAAATGTTCTGACTGCCTTGAAGTAGAATGATCAGTTAAAGCTTGTTTTAGCAGAGAATTTTAAATGAACATTCTACTGTTTACACCTCTCACACCTACTTGGCCTAACATGGCAGACATCATTCATAATATCATTTAGCAAATACTGCCAACCCTTCTCCAGCAACTGACTAACATCTTTAGTCAGTTGTCAGGGGAACAGTCCGAATAGATGTTCTATATTTTTAAAGACATACTGAAAGATTTTTATATAGGGATGAATCCATGGTATCCAAACTCAGGTATTTCTTTGTCTTTTCTGATCTGTCCATCTGCTGCTACTGTTTAAGTCCTTAATCTTCTTAAATATACTAGCTACTAAAATTCCACGTCCAGAGTTTCTCCTGTCTGAGCAATCTCTAGCACAAAATACCATTTTTAATGTCAGCAGTCCCTTGGTATCTCATCAGAGTTCCTCACATGGAATCCAGGTGTCCAACCACACACAAAGGTGTTTGTGTGCCACAACAAGTGGGGTGCCTGTGCTTTCATGAGGGAGGAATCCTTCCGGCTTTATTTGCCCAGTTTCCCTGGAGGGCAAAGTCCAACCCTGCAAGACGTCTTCCCTGTAGGTGCACCTGTAGAGAACTATGCAGAGACATTAGAAACAACTATGTCTAGTCTACAAAGAAGTGATCATCTATTTGGGGAGCTTAGCAGTTTAGTGCTTAAGGATGTGGGCAAGTATTTCTTTTCTTTACCTTCCTCTGCCTCACCACCCTATCCCACATGCTCTCCCATGTGCTCTTTGGTGTCACTATCATAGCTCTCAACCACCACGCGCTGTGGTTATGTTGGCCCCAGAGCCTTCCCCTTCTGCCTGGGGAGCTTCTCTGGGCAAAAGTGTTTTCCTTGCCTTAGGATTTCCAAGCTAGCCCAAAGCTCATCCACAGTAAGCTCCCAACAGTTATCTGCTGAAACTGTATTGAAGATACTATCTGCGAAACACCAAACATTCTTTGGATGATCAAGATATCAAGACTTACTTTCACTTTTGAGAACACGGAGGTGCCTCAAAAATGGGACATTTGAAAAGGTATCAGATGCCCTCTTTGCTTCAATCACTTTTGGTTAACTTTCCTCCGATTATCCACATGGTTCCTTTAAAATCTGTACCACATTCTGCCTACCCCGCCTTAATGAGCTCCTTCCGTGACTCTATATTCACCTTGCAGGTATCCTTCCTGGTTATCCAAGGCCCATACTCCTACTTGGCCATCACCTGGGGTCGGATTCCCCCCGCCCCCCAACTCCCACCCCAAGTGATCCCAGAGATCACTCCGTCAAGCCACCGCTGGGAAGCGCTGGGGACGCCTGGGTACTGCGCCCCTCGCCAGAGCCGGTTACCGAGATTCTCCTCGCTACTCTCTGGGATAATGCTCCGGCGACGACCCGGGGCAAGGGGATCCTGCAAGGTCCTGGGTCAGCGTTCTGTCAGCCCAGGGCGGGGGGGTGGGGAGGGAGAGAAGAATGGGGTGGGGGGGACAATCCTTGGGGTGGAGTCGAGGACGCCTTGGGATTAGAGGACACTCACTCTTGGCCCCGACCCTTCCCACGGAGAACCGCCTGAAGAGGGCTTCATCTCCTCTTCTTTTCAATCATCCTAGCTAGGGACCAGGGAAATGCAGGACCGGGGAGAGGGGTGGTGGTGGGAGGGGTCCCCCGGAACAACCGCGAAGTCTGCTTCACACATACATACGTACATACATACACACACACGCACGCACACGCACACACGACCTGCTACTTCAACTCCAGCTCTGAGCAAACTGCGTGGCGCGCCTCTCTCACTATGAGTCTTCCAGCTCGGCCCCGACCCGCCTCTCGCCTCACCCCAGCTTTTCCAATCAACCCCAGTTCTCCCTCCCAACTGACCGTGAAGTCGGAGGCAGTTCCCCAGTCCCAGGCCCCTGTCGAGGCTCCCGCCGCAGCCGCCGTCGCCTCCCCCTGCAGTCCCCGAGCCGGGACCCGGCCTCGGGCTGCAACGATGGCTCCCCGCAACGAGGCGCCGCGGCTCCCTGGACTCCGCCAGACACGGGGCGGCGCGCAGGAGAAGCCCATCGAGCTCCCGGCAGCGGCGGCGGTGGCGGCTGCAGGAGCGGCCGAGGCCGGGGGGGGCGCGGGCGGGGCCGCCCGCCGCTCAGGCTGATGACGCACGCGCGCGGGAGGGCGCGGTCGGCGCGGGCGCGACGCAGGCCGATGACGCAAGAGGCGGCTCGGCAGCATGGCGTCCGTGACGCTGAGCGAGGCGGAGAAGGTGTACATCGTGCACGGCATCCAGGTACCTGCGGCAGCGGCACCGGCGTCAGCCGCCGAGCTTCCCTGGTCCTGCGGCTCGCGGCCAACCCTCGGCTCCCTCGGGAGGAGCGGCGGGTCTGGGTTTATCTTGTGATGAAACAGCTCTGCGGCCGGCGTTTGCAGCCGGAGGCCGGCGACGCGGGCGTGTTTAGAACCCGGCAGCGAACGTCCATTTAGGACTGTTTGCACACTTGCAACCTTTCGGGTCTACAAGGTTCCGAACCCGGGTACGAAGCGGCGGGCCCAGTCCCGGAGACCTTTTCTTAGTGAGGGAGCACTGCCCCAGGGCCATCTCTTCAGCCCTAGCGTTGTCGCTTTACTGTTGGGGTGGGCTTCTGGCCCGCTTTTTCTCACCTCGTGGTTGGAAGTCACAGGGAGAGAGAAGGCACCCTAGGTGAAAGCGCTTTGAAAATATAAATCGCCTTACGAATAAAAAAAGATGTTTAAAAAGCGACTCCACAGCTGGTAGCGTAAATTTTTGCTGTTTCCCATTTTGCCTCTGGAGAACTGAGATCCCTAGAGGCAGCTGTAACTATCCTAAGTTCTTCTGTACTCAGACTTCAACCCCTGGTTTTGACCACTCCAGAACCAGAGCTGGAGAATGTTGGCCCTGATAATGAGCTATCGAGGAAGGCCAGGTGCGTCCTTCTTGTCTGTAATCTCCCAGGGTCAGAAAGTCTCCCCAAAGTTTCTCCAAAGCGTAGCCAGAATCCTGTTCTTGTCCATATAGACCTAATCATTTTGTGTTTTACTTTTCACTCTTGGTTCAGCATGATTAGTTTCATCTCTTGTGGCATTCCTTTGACATCAGCCTTTGATTCCTTTATTATTTCAAAGATGAATATAAAATAAAGGCAATAGAATATAAGGTATATATCAAAGGAGCACTATCGTTAGTGGAAGCCAAAGGAGCTGGCTAATATTGGGGGCTGTAATGTCCTGAAGCCTTCCCCAAGGAGGTCGAATCGCTTTCCTAAATCCATGTCAAGTGTCCCTTCTCTCTATCTTCAGGACTCTATTTCATTCATCAACCCAGAACTGAGCTAGACTCCAGGGTCAGGAAGTGGCCTGCCCGTATATAGCTCCCACGCGAGAAGGGAAAGACAGAAATTACATATCTATTTGTGTGTTTATATATGAAATTGTACCGAGTGCTTGAAGGCGGGAAAAATAAAATAACCTGCCTACTCTGGGAGGTCAAGGGAGGCTTCTCTAAGGAAATAGCGTTTGAACCGAGTTCTCAGTATGACCAAAAATTAAGTAGACTTGAGCCTTCCAGAGGGAAAGGATGGTGAGTCCACTTGTGCTACGGGTAATGGTGAAAGATCAGATTGCAGAGGTGGCCAGAAGCCTGATCCCAGGAGTCTTAGAGGCTCAGCTGCTCCCTCATCATGGGTCTTGGAAGGTAATAATCTGTTGACTTGTTCATATGATACCTTAAGGCCCAGCCAGCGTCCAGCACTTTGTAGGTACTCAATAACATCAAATGAGTAAGGTAGGCCTTAAAGGAGAGATGAGTTGGACAATGTTTTCTTTTTTTAAATTAATCCCCTTTCTTACCAGTACCTTGGACATATTAGAGCCATGCAAACTGACTAAATAAAACTTCGTATATTAACACTGGCCACAAATTTGCTGTATGTGGAGGAGCAAAACAGAATTTATACCATTTGGAAAAGATCAGAATGCGGGTGAATGAGCCTGCCACGGGCTCTCCACCGACTCAGTTCTAAAGTCACCTACACTTTTGTTTAGTTGGTCACTGGGTGCCAGCAGTGCACCTTAAGCAATGCCTGTCTGGAATCCTGTTCTTGCCCCTAGCGACCTAATCATTTTGTGTTTTACTTTTCACTTTTGGACCTATTCGGTCAGTTTCAGCTTCTGGCATCCCTTCTCCTTAGCCTTTGATTCTGTCACTGTTTCAGGGATATTTCACTTTGGCTTGGTGGTGGTTAGAAGCAGTTGAAATTAACCTAATCATGTGTGTTGAGGATTCAGTTGCTAGTTATGTTAACTAACAAACTGACTCAAGCAGAAAAAATTATGCGTGACATGGCTACAAGTGTTTCTCCAGGAAGTCAAGGGCAGTTGGAGCTTTAGGCTCTCCCGTGCTCATCTCTGCTGCTTTTTATGCCTTTCCTTAATTCTTGTCTTTTCAGATTGGCTTTCTGTTTCTCAGGCCATGTGGTAGAGAGACCGTAGTTACCTCTCAGGTCTTGGGGTTACAGTTCCCTTTTTTAAGAAACCAGCCCTTCTAATTTAATTTCAGACTCATGGTTGGACAGAATCATTATGTTCAAACATGGCCACTGGGGGATGAGGCACGGGGGGGGTGGGGCGAGCAAGCGTGCACACACGAGAGCGAGCAATTTGTGGACAGAAGATGAACCATTTTAGGTTCTGGGAGAAAATGGAACTCAGTTTAGATCATTCAGGAGACTTTAATGATGGGACTCTTGATAACGGTATGTGTGGATTTCAGGGAACCAATAAGAGATGTTGAAGAGCCCAAAGACTAAGGACCACAGGGAGTCGCTCGCACCTCTAGGCCAAAGGGGCAAAGGGAGGAAATAGTGTTACCAGATGCCAGTGATGGCTGGAACCATGGGGGAAGAGCTGCCCAACGGGAGTTGTAGTCTTGGGTTGATGCAGGCACTGTCAGAAATGTGGCCCCAGATTAGGAGTGGGGAATGGGGGAGCACTCTGTTCTCATTCTGGTACCTTCCATTGGCCAGACCCAACCAGAAGCCAGCAAAGGCAATCCAGGTAATACTGTTTGGAGGGAATAAACTTGGTGCACAGATTAGGGCAGGGAAGGATGGAGAATGGATCTGAGAGGAGTAGAACAGGGTAAGGGAAAAACTTGATGAATCAGTATTTTAATATGTGATTTGATCGGTTTCTGTTATGTCCCTTCTCAGGCTTTGAAGGTTGAGATGTTCCACTTTTGTCAGGTATATATCATAGGTTCCGACCAGGGCACGGCAGTTGAAGCATGCCTTTGGGGCCTTCTCAGAGCCATTTCATCGCATTTTTCTTGGCGGTTGAAGGGAGGTATAGCTCAGCTGATGGTTTCGGTTTCTTTCTTGTGGCTCTAGCTTTAATCATAAGCATCGTTGGGGGAGCAGTGCAGAAGAGGAAGAACAGGGCCCGAGCCTGGTCTTCAGTTCTGACTGAGCAGGCAGTTCTCAGCTGTTCGGCCTGGCCACACAGAGCCGGAACCAGCCCCCAGGACTCTTGATTTTGAACCCTGTGCCCTTTTCGTCTGTGTACCCATGGCACAGAAAGGCTGATCCCAGGCACTTAGCACGGTGAATGGAGTCACATCCTATCAGAGGAATGCAGGGATGCTCAACAGGCTTGCAAAGTGAAACGAGGATCAATATCTAGTTGTGCTCACTGCGTCTGGGCCTGGGCCTGCAAAGCTGGACCAGTCGTGGTCCCGTTCCTCAACGGGGTCGCTTTCTAGTGGGGGAGACATTGTGGTGTCAGTTCTCTGGCAAGCTCCGAGGTACTGGACAGGTCAAGACAAGATAGTGAGAGATTAACATCACTTCAGAGGACCTCTTGAATCTGAAACCCTCCCAGGTGTGTTGGATTAGTCGAGCCAACCTGTCAGCTTCTCTTAAGGACTGGGTTACCTGGGTGTGAAGAAAAGCAGCTCTGGGCTGAGTCATGTGTCCTTCCACTCTGTCATGAACGGGAGATTGAAACATGGTGCCTCAACATCCTCATCTGTAACCTCTCTCCAGGGTCTTTTTGAGGAATCTGTGAGCTAACACCTGCCCCCACAAGCAGAAGGGAACTGATGACCAGGACACCCGTGTGCCACACTCTGCTGAGGGTTCCCCTTACATGATTTATGGCTTTCGGATTCTCCTATAACTCCGTAAGGTCAGGGTTATTCCTGCTTTCCAGAGGAAGAGGCAGGCTCAGAGCTGTTGAGGAATTTGCTCAAGGTCACCAAGCTGGTATATGATAGCAGAGATTTAAATATAGATAGGAGGCAACTCCACTACACCATGCCCAACTGTCAGGGTTGTTGTGATCACCAGGAGCCATCCAGCATCCAGAAGTCCTTTACCTGGAAAGGTGCTTGAGGCCCCTGTGCTGAGGACAGCCTCAGCTCCAAGGTGCTGTCCATCATTTGTTGACATCTATATTGATTTTATTAAATGGAGCTTTTACTTCAGGGCAGTCCCTGTTTTTAAGTGTTCACACATGGATGAATTCCCTTGCTCCTGAGTATTGCAGATGAATAAAAATTGTGGTAGAGTGTCCAGCCCTGAGCCGGGTTAAGCAGGTTTGGACAACATCCTGTCTTTGATGAAGAAAACTGGATTTTAAAAAAGCTGCCCTGGGTGCCATGATATATGGACTAGTTTGTTTGTTTCAGTTTGTTTTTCTCCTGTTCTTTTAAGTGCTTTTTCCTATGGGAAAAAAAAATTAAACTTGAGGTATCCTTTGAAAAGAAAGTTTGTAGCTTTTTGTTTATCTCTTGTCACTTGAGCTTTTCCCACTGAGCCTTCCCCAGGGGGCAGAAAGTGATTTGAAAGGCTGGAAAGGCAAGATCTGGTGAGGCCCAGTTTTTTGACACACCCTCCTTCCCCTTCCTGGAGCAAGTAAGTGGGTTGTCATTACAAAGGGGTGTGACTAGATCTTTCCAGAGCGAGTGGTATTTTAAAGCAGTAGTTGGAAGCCTTGTAACCTTGTGGTCTCCTCGCTTTCAGAGCTGTTATCACCGTCATCAAAACCAGCTGGTGTAGCCAGCCAGCTCATCCTTTGGGGGAGGCCTGTGCTGACCCCTGTTGCACAGTGAAGAGACCCTTTAGAATGCAGGAGGCCGAGGGGAATTGTGGGGAAGAGCTCTGGCTTGGAATTCAAGTGCTACTTCCTGGCCGTGTGGCCTTGGGCCAGACATTCAGCATCTTTCAAGACATTAAAATGGATTAACCGTGTAGTGTTTCTAAAATATTATCTCATACAGTAAGTGGCTATTTTATTTTTTCGAATTTGTATAAGAGTGACTACTTTAATTGTAGATTGTAGAATTAAGGAAGCACCTTTGAGGCCTTCTATTTCAATCTCACAGCTGAAGAAACTAGTCTAGTGGGACTCGTCCTAGGCCAACAACTCGTCCTAGTCAATGTCAGGACCAGGCCTGGAGTCCATGACTGACACCACCCCTGGTGATTGCTCACGCTTGTACCAGGCCTGCACCCCATGAAGGAGTCTTATAAATGATGTTTCTGGGCCAGATTTTCACTTTCCTAGCAGGGCATGCCTGGGGGTTGGGCAAACAAGAGTCAGATTGACCCAGAAAGCCTTCATGTTCTCTGGGTGGGGTTGTGAAGAGACATAGTTTCGGGATCCTCCAGTGAAGAAAGGTCACTTTATGGAGTTCTCCCTGGAGGCTCGTTCTCCTAGACTTGAAATTCTGTTGCTTTTCAAGTCCATGTCTCTCCAGACTCAAGATAGGGACCGCCTCCGAGGAGAGAATGGTCTAGAAGTGACGGGCTGCAAAGGGACTTCAACCAGACCTATGATGTTTGTTTATTTTTTTCTTTAACAAGAGTTGAGCGAGGAAAAGAGCTGAAACATACATGACAGATGGTAGTTGTTGGTACTGTGTGGTGGGAGCATGCAGTGTTTTGCTTTTCTATATTTTAATTTATCAAAATAAAATCAATCACATATGCAGTTAGCTAGGCAGTTTAAAGATAAGTTTCTGACAGTTACATACTTTAGGACAGTGGTTTTTTATATATGTTGTGAGGAGCATTAACCCCTTTGAGAATCTGATGATGCTAATGGTTCTTTTTCTGAAGAAGAAAAAAAACTTTTCAAAAAATGTTTACAAAGAATGAAGATCTCTTTGAGTTGACGTGGAACAATTCCCTGTATATGTCTCATTAAATGTTAAAAAGAAGCAAAGTATAAAAAGTATCTGTAGTAGGCTGCTCTTCATATAAGAAGGAAATATAAAAAATACTCATGTATCTGCTCATTTGTGCACAGGAAATACAGAAAAGATGAACCAGAAACTAAAGAGATTGGATACCTGCCTGGTGTGGGTGGAAAGGGGGTAGGAAGAAGGGGAGCATGAGAACAGGGGTGAGGTGACATTGTCATTTCTCTGAGCATACCTTTTCTGATAGCTTTGACTCCTAGAACCATGGCAATAGTCCACACACCCAAAAAGTGAGTAAGTAATTAAAAGTGACTGGGATATGGGGGATGCGAACCAGAACAGAAACCGTACAAGTGAATAATGGAGCCGTGAAGGTTGGGGGAAGACAACTGGAAAACAATATTTTGAGTGGGTAAGGTATGGCTAAAGACAGAACTCTACAAAAGATACTGTACTCTGTTAGTAAATTTGTTTCTCATAGGCATATGGGTTAGCAATCTGAAACTATGTGTGTACTAAGATTTAACAAATACATTGTAGATACTGAGAGCCAGGTTTCTCCCTGTCTGAGAAAGAAGTTACAAATAAGACAAGGAGGAAGGTTAGAACCAACTACTAGTACAAACACATGGCTTCTTAGTAGATATGTAGATAGGGACAGAAATAAATGGATGTGTTGTGGGTTAGCATACGTACATTTATTTTCACATACGTAAAGAGATGCTTGAAAAAGGTGGGAGGCATGTTGAAAAAACATAGGAACCCACCCAGAGGAGTTCCCAGTGGCCAAATCTGGAACACTGTGCAACAAAGTAAACAATGGCAGTGTTGGATTACAACGACAGCATAGAATAGATGAGTTACATTGATACAAGTAAAGAAGTAAGTGAGGTAAGGGACAAGCAGTGCCTAGACCACTCTGAAACCCATCTTCGGCATTGAGGTCGGCAAACTTTTCCTGTGAGGGCTAGAGGGTGAAGATTGGTAGGTCATACGGTCTCTATCACAGTTACTCAATCCTGCCATTGCACGAAAGCAACCATTAACTACTTAAGGGAATGGGCACAGCTGTGTTCCAGGAAAACGATTTACAAAAACATGTGGCCCTGCGGGCCTGGCTTTGTGGACCCTGTTCTGGAGATTGCCTGTTTTAGGAGATATTGGCTAGTTGCCTTTAGCTCTTCACAGAGTGGCTCTTGTTGGGTTTGGGGGCAGAAGGTCTACAGCTGAGACAGTTGTGCCTGTGACTCTGACAGTGCACACTTTTGGTGTAATTTCAGAGTTGCAGATTTGGAAAGAGGCAGCTTATTTTCTCTTGTTCAGATTTCGTTTTGTATGCCTGCTCTGTCTAGTGGCATGTTGTATGGACTTTGCCTCCCAGGACAGACCTGGGATGGAAACCTAGCTGCATTCTCACTAGCTGTGGGACCTTGGACATGTCACTTAACTTCTCTGAATCTCCATTTCCTCATATGTAAAATGGTAATATTGTGACATCCAGAAATTCAAATGATTCACTAACTAAGAGAAAAAGAGATGTTGTACTGTATATTTCTCTAGGGAAATAAAAAGGAGTGACTTGGCTTCGGAGTCTGTTGTTGGTTTGGCATCACGGCCTCAGGGTTGTGCTTGTTGCGCTTAGGAAGACCTCCGCGTGGATGGCCGTGGCTGTGAGGACTACCGATGTGTCGAAGTGGAAACCGACGTGGTGTCCAACACCAGCGGATCTGCCAGGGTCAAGCTGGTGAGTACCGTGGCCACAGTCCGTGCCAAGCAGAGGAATGGGTATGCCTTAGGGAACCAACTGCAGGCTTTTGGAGCACAAATTGTTCTGGGGGAAATCCCGGATCCAAGCCAAACTCTGGGAGAGGGTCTGTCTAGATCTAAGGACCCCTTGTCTTCTCCAGGGGCAACTTCCCAAGTCCCAGCACTGCTCTTAAGAGAGGCCCCGGGTGTCTGTGCGGAGAGGAGGGAGGTGGTTGGTGCCTGGCTGCCTGCCCTGAACTGGGACTCTTTTTGCACGTGTCTGCAGGGTCACACGGACATTTTGGTGGGAGTGAAAGCAGAAATGGGGGCGCCGAGGCTGGACAAGCCAAACGAAGGTTATTTGGAGTTCTTTGTCGACTGGTCAGTACTAAGCAGATGTTTTTAAAGAAAACAATTTAAAAGATGAAGATTCAGAGAATGATCCTCTGGTTTCCTGTTGAGCCCACTTTTATTTTGTATTTAATTGTCTTTCATCCAGCCAGCAGGTATTTACTGAGTTCCTCCTACGTCCAGGCCCTGGGATATGTGTAAAGAGGTTTTGGGTCAAGTTCTGCCCTTGTCCTAATCACCTGGCCCTCGCCGGGCCTCATTTTCCCTGTCTGAAAAAGGAAGGTGTCTGCCTGGCAGCCCAGCACGTGGTCATTATAAGAGTCGAATGGGATTATGGGCGTTATGGTGCTTTGAAAAATACCAAACATAGATGATAAGGATCATTAGGTCTGAAATGCCCTGTTTCTCTTTCTGCTCTGTCTTTGCAGTAAACTTCTCATGACTTGCTTGGCAGAGCGAGGACCTGGGTCAGCCAAGAAGCCTGACAGGCTCAGGGAGTGGCAGCTAGGCAGGCAGCGTGGGTGCTGGGAAGAACAAAGACTCAGCAGTCTCTGCAGCCAGCCAGGTTTTTGCTGGCTTTCTTCTCTGGCCAGCTGTGTGACCTCAGGGTAGTTAGTCTCTCTGCCTAAATTTTTTTTATCTAAAAAATGGGGATAATAATACTGTCATGATGGTGAAGAAATGAAATGATGGAGATAGAGCAGCTAGCATGGTGATCGGCTCTCAGTGGGCTTTCAATAAATGTTCCTTCTCTCCTTGTCACCTCCCTCTTCTAGGAGTTGGGACTTTTTATTGGGTTGCTGGCCCAGTCTCATCTTCGATCTGTAAGTTCACTTCTAGCTAGTTGGTGACAGCAGGCCTTTTGACGTGGGTAAGGATCTCTGTTGGCTCATGCTAGATGCAGGTCTGTAATATTGGTGCTGTATTGGGGTCCCCAAGACCACCCCACATTCAGAGATCTGCCGGGAGGACTCACAGGACTAAGCGTGTAGTTGTGCTCATGCTAGGATTTGTTACAGCAAGAAAGATGCAGCACGTGTGTGTGTGTGATGATTCTGCCCAAGAAAATCCATCAAAGACTCAGCACCCACGATATTGGGGCGCTGGTCATGTGAGCACCCTCTGCTCAACACATGCCAGACTCCCAGAACGGAAGTTGGTGTGCAGCATAAACCATGGTTTTGCTGAAACAGTCTAGGCACAGCGGACACAGTTTACTGCTGACTGGGTGCAGCCTGAGAGCCGATTCCCACATGCCAGCTGAGGGCCATCCGTGCAGGCAGGCCCTTGTGCAGGCGGCAGCCTTGGACCTGCTACGTCAGCCCTTTTCTGCATCCATCTGTATAGCAAGTTACAGTCTCCCAGTCTTCACTTCCCAACTGTGTTTGTGAGAGGTGAGTTCAGAGAGGCTGAGTGATTTTCCTGGTGTCACATAGCAAGGTCTATCCGACTCAGTCTTTTTCTACTTCCTGCAGCCTACGGAGGCCAGCTTTGGGGGGATGGTGTGCTTAGAGGTCCCAGAACATATCTGCATTCATCTTTCTGGCCAGTTTTCCTTCTCGCCCATTC